GCTCAAGTCAAGGCTTATACTGCTCAAGTCAAGGCTTATACTGCTCAAGGCAAGGCTTATACTGCTCAAGTCAAGGCTTATACTGCTCAAGGCAAGGCTTATACTGCTCAAGTCAAGGCTTATACTGCTCAAGCCGAGGCTTATACAGCTCAAGCCAAGGCTTATACAGCTCAAGTCAAGGCTTATACTGCTCAAGTCAAGGCTTATACAGCTCAAGTCAAGGCTTATACAGCTCAAGTCAAGGCTTATACAGCTCAAGTCAAGGCGTATACAGCTCAAGTCAAGGCTTCTACTGCTCAAGTCAAGGCTTATACAGCTCAAGTCAAGGCTTATACAGCTCAAGTCAAGGCTTATACTGCTCAAGTCAAGGCTTATACTGCTCAAGCCAAGGCTTATACTGCTCAAGCCAAGGCTTATACAGCTCAAGCCAAGGCTTATACAGCTCAAGTCAAGGCTTATACAGCTCAAGTCAAGGCTTATACAGCTCAAGTCAAGGCTTATACTGCTCAAGCCAAGGCTTATACAGCTCAAGGCAAGGCTTATACTGCTCAAGCCAAGGCTTATACAGCTCAAGGCAAGGCTTATACTGCTCAAGCCAAGGCTTATACAGCTCAAGGCAAGGCTTATACAGCTCAAGTCAAGGCTTATACAGCTCAAGTCAAGGCTTATACAGCTCAAGTCAAGGCTTATACTGCTCAAGTCAAGGCTTATACTGCTCAAGGCAAGGCTTATACTGCTCAAGTCAAGGCTTATACTGCTCAAGGCAAGGCTTATACTGCTCAAGTCAAGGCTTATACTGCTCAAGGCAAGGCTTATACTGCTCAAGTCAAGGCTTATACTGCTCAAGGCAAGGCTTATACTGCTCAAGTCAAGGCTTATACTGCTCAAGGCAAGGCTTATACTGCTCAAGTCAAGGCTTATACTGCTCAAGGCAAGGCTTATACTGCTCAAGTCAAGGCTTATACTGCTCAAGGCAAGGCTTATACTGCTCAAGTCAAGGCTTATACTGCTCAAGGCAAGGCTTATACTGCTCAAGTCAAGGCTTATACTGCTCAAGGCAAGGCTTATACTGCTCAAGTCAAGGCTTATACTGCTCAAGGCAAGGCTTATACTGCTCAAGTCAAGGCTTATACTGCTCAAGGCAAGGCTTATACTGCTCAAGTCAAGGCTTATACTGCTCAAGGCAAGGCTTATACTGCTCAAGTCAAGGCTTATACTGCTCAAGGCAAGGCTTATACTGCTCAAGTCAAGGCTTATACTGCTCAAGGCAAGGCTTATACTGCTCAAGTCAAGGCTTATACTGCTCAAGGCAAGGCTTATACTGCTCAAGTCAAGGCTTATACTGCTCAAGGCAAGGCTTATACTGCTCAAGTCAAGGCTTATACTGCTCAAGGCAAGGCTTATACTGCTCAAGTCAAGGCTTATACTGCTCAAGGCAAGGCTTATACTGCTCAAGTCAAGGCTTATACTGCTCAAGGCAAGGCTTATACTGCTCAAGTCAAGGCTTATACTGCTCAAGGCAAGGCTTATACTGCTCAAGTCAAGGCTTATACTGCTCAAGGCAAGGCTTATACTGCTCAAGTCAAGGCTTATACTGCTCAAGGCAAGGCTTATACTGCTCAAGTCAAGGCTTATACTGCTCAAGGCAAGGCTTATACTGCTCAAGTCAAGGCTTATACTGCTCAAGGCAAGGCTTATACTGCTCAAGTCAAGGCTTATACTGCTCAAGGCAAGGCTTATACAGCTCAAGGCAAGGCTTATACTGCTCAAGCCAAGGCTTATACAGCTCAAGGCAAGGCTTATACTGCTCAAGCCAAGGCTTATACAGCTCAAGGCAAGGCTTATACAGCTCAAGTCAAGGCTTATACTGCTCAAGGCAAGGCTTATACTGCTCAAGGCAAGGCTTATACTGCTCAAGTCAAGGCTTATACTGCTCAAGGCAAGGCTTATACTGCTCAAGGCAAGGCTTATACAGCTCAAGCCAAGGCTTATACAGCTCAAGTCAAGGCTTATACAGCTCAAGTCAAGGCGTATACTGCTCAAGTCAAGGCTTATACAGCTCAAGTCGGAAATTGCTTTGGTCATCTTTACGTGTGAAGGGCAAACAACAACATCAATTAATTGTTGGTATATCTTTATCTCTCCCATATCCAAAATGAGGTGGTTATAATGTCATAGATCATGTTATAGATCTTCATGGATATGATGGGAACCACATATAAAATGTTTCTAACAAACCCCTGTCCGAGGCAACGCTTTGTGCAAGCATCATTACAGCACAGTGAGATGTGTAAGAAAACCATTCCAGCTTAGTCATATTGTAATAAAACAACTCCAGCTTAGTCATATTTTAATAGAACCATTCTACCTTAGTCATATTGTAATAAAACCATTTCAGCTTAAATCACGTTGTAATAAAACCCTTCCAGCTTATTCATACCGGTATTATAATGAAACCATTCCATCTTAGTCATATTGTAATAAAATCATTCCATCTTAGTCATATTGTAATAAAACCATTCCAGCTTAGCCATATTGTAATAAAACCACTCCATCTTAGTCATATTGTAATAAAGTCATTCCATCTTAGTCATATTGTAATAAAACCATTCCACCTTAGTCATATTTTAATAAAACATCTCCAGTTTAGCCATATTGTAATAAAACCATTCCAGCTTAGTCATATTGTAATAAAACCATTCCAGCTTAGTCATATTAGCCCATGTCATTTTGGAACATCTAGTGGGGGACTGGAAACATTATATAGGCCAATATCCGCGTTCTTTCTTTTGTAACATTGAAACATTATAGGCTTGTATACGGTTTCTGTCTTTTGTGACTTGCATGTGTTCTAAATTCTAATGTGTGTTAATTTAGCTGCATGCTAGCCAAACATGTCAGTGCAGTCCGTGTGGCTTGTAAATTGTATGATATCTAGCAATCGCCCGTGTCTGGTGATATCCTAGATCGACCGATGCAGTTCAGTGAACATCCGTTGTTATTTTTTGTTTTT